TATATATATAATACACACACCAATCCACCCCCACCCCAAAAAAAATCTCTCCACTAAGCTTCACCAACCTAACAAGAAGCAAAAGGGCAAGAAAGCTTGTAGAAATGGAAATGCACGAAGTAAACGAAATAAGACTGATTTACGCTTTGAAATTTCAGAAGTAGCCTTCAATTCAAAGATGGTTGTGTGGTACCCAGTGACAAGCTCTAAGAAGTGAAGGAAGTTTACTGCCACGTGAACGTTAATTTGATGAAAACTTACAATATTGCGCACAGCAATGTGCGCGATAAGAACAATAGTTTCCAGTGTTGCGGCCGCTCCGAAATGTCTCACTGTATTACTTTCCGTCTTAGATTTCTGTCATAAAAATATTCTGATGGAATAATTGGCAGATCGATCAGCGAGTCTCTCCCTACAGAAAAGGCATCGGATTTCCGAGGGAACATTGATTCGTTTCACACTCAGCTAACATCAGTCTGTTCAGTCGAGACAGCTGCATTAAATTGAACCTGGACATCCCCAAACTCAAATATGCACAAACCGAAGACCAATAAAAATTGCGAACGAATTGCACACCGTGGTGAAACGGCGATTGAATTCTAAGTATGTATTTTGCAAGTAATGGGGGTCATTTATGAACAAATGAATGTCGCACCCTGCTCATAACCAGCAGATCGCTAGAATTCCCGAAATTTGTTTCAGATCAGTGCAGTGACAGTATGCAGTCAGGATGTAGTGTCAGTATCAACAGCTCCCTATCAGAAATCCACATACAATACATGTACGTTACTTTACAACGCACTGCCAGATGACATTAAACAATTGAAGTGCGTTCACAAATTTACGTTAAAAGTAAAATCTTTTCTGCTGCATAACTCTATACAATTAGAGACTATACTGATAATCAAAAACAAAAATAATACATTTATATTGTATAGTTTTTTAAAGACTTAATATGTTTTCTGGACGTAAATGTAGCTTTACTTTGTGCAAGTTTTGTTGAACTCTCCTTTTGTTTGTAATGGTAAGAGTAGAGGTAAGAGCGAGTTGTTATTTTGTTAGCTACGCAGGAAAATCATACTTGCAGCTCGTGTACCGATGCAAAATAAGTTCTGTATTACTCGGAAACGAAAATGACTACTTTTTCAAATCTTGCTAATCTTGCTATTTTTAAAATTTATTTTTATTTATTTCTGTTAAACTTTTACTCATCTTTCAACTATTTATAGTTAAAATGACGGGAAGGGATTCTGGAACTCAAGAAAACGTGCGCAAATCTTTCTCTACGTCACATACAGTTTTTACTGTTTTTGACTAAAATCTAAATCTAGATGTAACACTTGAACGATGTATTTTGCTTTACTTGTATCATTTGACATTACACATTTTCCAAGTTCGTGGAATGAGAAAGGGATTAAACCAACTGCCAACTTTCATTTTGTGTTCATTGCCTTATACTTCGATTTTGTAACGTATCGTCTCAAGGTCACACAAAAAAGGGACAGGGAAGGCAGACTCCAGTAGGGAGCTGCAACGTCACTACAGCTTCCACTTTTATAGCTCCGTATTGTAATCTGCCGTTCCTCTCCGTTTTGCGTGCGCGATCTAGAGACGCCACATTAAAAAATCGAAGTATTCACTCGTACTCATGTATTTTGTGTTGTGACTCCGAGTGTGTTTAACCGGTATGATTTCTGCTCGGGTTTTGTTTGGGAAGTAATGTTTATTGTTTGTTCATGAGGTATGCAGAGTATGTGTTTGTAGTCAGTGTGGTGCGGGAGTTTCGTTTGTTTTATTAAGAGAGGGTGGAAATCTTCAAAAGACACTTGGCAACCCTTACCGCCTCCAGCCTCCCTACAGAATCACTGTTAAGCCTGTTTTACACGATCATTTTTTCATCATTTTTCGCCGGTACAGAAAAGATACAGGTCAGATTGGATGTAATTTGTACGAAAAAATTACGCATGCTGACCCCCGAGGGTCCTCAAGTATTCTTTTCTCTCATCTTGCCAACCATCTTGATTTTTCCCATCGTTTATTGTCGTTCTCCTATAACATCCTGTCTCTTCTTATCTACCCCTCCTATTTCACTGCCCCCTATGCAGAACGCCCACCCATGCATGCATTGCCATGCATTGCGACCCGTGTCGGAGCGCAGGTGTGTCCTGGTCGTTGAGGGACCTGTTTGTTTCCCAACTACCCTGTGTGCTACTGTATGCCTTGCACCTACGGCTACGCAGTTTACGTATTTTGGGGAACATCCCTTGTAGATTTCGATTAACTCGCTTTGGCCTCGGACTCTTCTAGACGGGCAGTTGGGAGCTAATCCACTCCCGATCTATCGGCTCGGACTTGGTCTTGTACCAGGGTTGCCTTTTATATTTCAGGATTAGAGAAAAAGAAATATTAATCATCGAAAATCACTTTATTGTTTTTCAAAATATTCCACATGAAGATCTATACACTTTTGCATGCGTTTGAACCAATTGTAGAAGCAGTTTTGCCACTCTGATTGAGGTATCTCCAAAACATGCATTCCGAATGCAGCAACCGCTTTTTCAGGTGTCGAAAAACGTTGACCTCTCAGTTTGTTTTATACGTACGGGAATAAAAAGAAGTCATTCGGTGCCAAGTCAGGACTATATGGCGGATGACGCATCAAATCGATGTTTTGGGTGCTCAAAAATGCAGTTGTTTGAGCCGATGTGTGAGAGCTCGCATTGTCGTGGTGAAGAATGATCCGTCTTCGTCGGTTGGTTTTCCTGATTTCTTGGAAGACAGCTGGCAAACAAATCGTTGTGTACCACTCAGAATTGACTTTTCTGCA